AGACCAGCAGTTTTGAGGATCTTCCCCATTAGGTGTTAGTACATGGCTAAAAATTAAAATTTCTGGGAAAATACCTGGAATGAAGTCCCTGCCATGTGTACCTCCTGATACTAATTTTCTCTCCACCTCGGCCAGGTGAGAAGCCATTTGAGTGTGATATATGTGATATGCGCTTCATCCAGAAATACCACCTGGAGCGTCACAAGCGTGTGCACAGTGGTGAAAAGCCCTACCAGTGTGAACGGTGTCATCAGGTAAGCTCACATGTCATCCATCCACCCCACACATTGACTTTTCCTTCACCAGGAACCAGGGCCAGTTCCCATCCCCTACCCAACAAGGGACCACCTAGTATTCCTGGCCATGATAGAGTAAGTACCTCAGGGGAGGTATGTCCCTCTGGCCTTAGGCAGCTGATCATGGGGAGGGGCCATAAGAATAACTGTAGTAACAGTAGCATTTCTTGAGGATTTACTTTGTGCCGGGCACTGTGAGAGCATATTTGACGTAGACTATTTTATTTAATCTTCATGTTAACTCCATAAACTAGCTGTGTTGCTGTCATTTCACATATGGGGAATTTGAGATTTAAAGAGGTTTAGTTTCCTAAGGATACAGCAGATCAAGGGCAGAGCCAAGCTTCAGTCAAACTTTGGGGGTGGTGCTCCTGGAAGAAGAAATATAATCGCTGCCTTGGGGGTCAGTATCTGATCTGATGAGAATGTAAGAACTAGGACCAAAACAAGACAAGAACAAAAGATGAGAAATGATAACAACTAACATTTCCTGTTTGCTTTGTTCCGTCCTCTTAAACCGGATCTCAAAATACTAGAATAAAAGCTCCAGGAGGCAGAGATTTTGCCCCTCTGGTTCTCCACTCTATCCTCAGCCCCAAGAACTGTACCTGCCTTGAGACAGACATTCAATAAATATTGGATGAATAAAGCAGCCGTTCTGTGAGGAGGTACTTTTAGCCCCATTACAGAGGAGTGTACAGATTGAGCATTGCTGGCTACCTTGTCCAAGATTGCACCGCTCCTAAGTGGTAGAGCCAGGAATCAGACTTGAGAGCTTGCATGCTTAACCACCGTGTGCCCCTGCCATCTGTATCGTTGCTGAGGGCATGTGGAATGGGGCGTGTGCCTCCCGTGTGGGGAGGACAGAGCTAGCCAACAGGTAGCTGAGTTTCTCCTCTCCAGCACTTAATCCTTCCTTTCTTCTCAGTGTTTTTCTCGGACAGATCGATTACTCAGACACAAACGGATGTGCCAAGGGTGCCAGTCCAAGACTTCCGACGGGCAGTTTTCTCTATAGGCGCAAGGGGCCCTGGGTGGTGGGAGTGATCAGAAGAATTTACCGAAGAGCGCACCCCCTCTGGTCTGATGGTCCCACCACCACCCCGTCTGTACCTGTCCCCCCTCCTGGAGGAGTGGACCCAGGAGACCAGAAGAGTGCATCAGGGGACAGCAGCCTCAGAGCCTCAGCTCTGTAAATAATCTGAGACTATGAGTATCTCGGGGAAGTTCCTACAGCATTCCTGGGTAGGGAAGCTAGTCCCTGGACCCTTGGCTGAGGTTATAGGTGGGGACTCAAGGTACTGGACCAAGACTGGTGTGGCTCCCACAACCTTGGACTCCAGCTGGCAGCTGAAATGGAAAGGATTGGGGAGAGGGATTTGTTTGTTTGTCCTATTCTTGTTTTTGTTTATTCAAAAGCAATTTTAGCAGGTACACTGTGGATAAAGGTAAATTAGAGCCCTGGTCAAAGCAGGGACTATGGCTGGTCCAGTCCTCCCCAAAATTGAGTTTTTAGTTGCAGTTGATCCTCAGTGTTCCGCAGCCCTGCACCTCACTTCCTGTTTGAAGGAGAGTAGGATCAGGGATGGCAGCTGAGCTTACTTTGGCCTCCTTATACACTGTAGGGACAGAAGGAAGAATGGTGGGAGGAGCAGACGAGGGCTGGGTCCAACTGGCGTGGACGGGTACCTCTTATTTCCTTCAGGAAAGAGCAAGAATTGTGCCCAGGGCTGATGTAATGGCCCAGGCCACACTGGTACCTAATGGGGTCAGCTCAAGTGCCTTTTGGAGGAAACTTGGGTGAGAGTGGCCCATGAAGCCCTTTCGTGCCCTTTTTGGGCACTTGATCTTGGATATAGTTTGTGGCTACCTCGCTGCCATTGACTCCTGAGCCAGACAAAGGTGTTGAGCAGGTAGTCATGGATATCAAAGTGGGCTCTCTCTCCTTGTGCCCTCTTAGGAACCACCCGAGACTAGTCCCAAGTTGGGCAACAGCAGTTCAAGAAACAAAGGAGTTTGGTGTCCCCTGACATGAGTGTTGAGCAGTGTGAGCTGCTTTCCCTGCCCAAGTCCTATCACTGTATTCAGGTAAAGGAGATAGGGGTGTGGCTTTTGGTCCCAAAGAACAAGATCTTGGCTTCCTTCTTAATGGCCATCCCTACCCGACAAAGAATGCGGGGGAGGGAGGTGCTGCGGAGAAAGGACTCAGGAGGAAACCTTATGTGGGTTTTATTCTTAACTGTATTCTTTGCTCCTCTCTGCGCCAACACCACCACCTTATCTGCCCCCCAAAAAGTGATCAGGGGTGTATGTGTGCGCATGCGCACACTTGCGCATGAGTGTGTCCATTCACGTGTGTGCTTGTGTTTGTGTGCTTGGAGATGGCATATTATTGAGCCAAACCCTTTTCTGGCCCTCAGAGGAGGATGAGCATAAAGTAGCCTCCCACCCACCCCCAAATCTGAAGGGTGCTTGAGGTCCCAGCAGGAGCTGAGGAGCTCAGTTTAAGGGACTGAAGGGCTTTGTTTTGGAGGGGTTTTTTTAGATTGATTTAACAGGCTGGTTAGGGTGTTTAACCCAAGCCAGAGCTTGTGAACATGAATTTTCTAAAGTGAAATAAAAACCCTCTTCCTGCTATGGAGGGTTCAGGGGGTTGATTGACGCCCACTGGCCTGCCCTGACCTGTGGGGGGAGTAATCATGGATGCTTGGTGAACCTGACCAAGGTGTCAGTGGGGAACTGAGATAGCAACTCCAGGAAGTGTGATTTCATTTCCTACAAAATGTAGGGAACAGCAGCAGAAAACTCCTAGCTGTTACCTAATCAGGAGGAGATGGCTTGCGGGGGGGGGGGGGGGGGGGGGGGGGGGGGGGGGGGGGGGGGGGGGGGGGGGGGGGGCATCCATACCTCTGAAATGTGAGGATTTCAGGGAAAAAGAAAGGTGTGGCACCTTTCAGATTTTCCCTGACTGCACCTGAGATCCTTTGGGAGAGACTCTGGGGAGTGTATTTGCCACCTGAGCTCTTCTAGCTTTATGCTGGCACTTCCATTCGATAGGGTCCAGAACCTAGACCTCAGTCCTTGGAGCTGCCCTGTTGTCCCTGCAAGCAGGGTATCATCCTTTGTGTGAGTGAGCCCCTTTCCTGTTAGAGGGCTCTGCTGGGGCTGGAGTTGATCATTCACATCTGAGAATATATTCTCAGAAGGAGGCTACGTTCAGAAACTGTTCTCCCATGAGCACTTTTGAAAGTAGGAGGCTTTGTTCACTGTCACTTAGAGCTAATCTGTATAGGGTTGGAGTGTGGGTGGACAGAATCCCATGAGTGATCTATGCCCCTACGTGTGTGGACGTGTGCTTAGGTCAGAATGTGCTCTGGCCCCCCGCAGCCTCAGCCTTTTGCCTGGGCCGGTGGGAGAGAGGGAACGTGTGAACAGACGTGTGAAGAGTGTAATGGAAGCACCCCTGCCAAGGATTGGGTGTGGGGGAAACTCAGGAGCAGGTGGTTCGTTCTGTTGTCCAGGTGCTGAGGTTCTGGGGCCAGTGATGTGCAAGTAAAGAGGTGAAAAGGAGTGATTCGGCCCCTCCCCCCCCCACCCCCGAGGGTCCAGGAGCCCCACTCACACCCCAGGGAAACCACAGACTAAGAGCGCTGCAGAGGCTCCTGGGCCCAACACCCTAGCCCTCCTTAGCTGGTGGGGCCTAGCACTGGACAGATGCCTCAGGTGCATGTGGAGTGAAGGGAAAGGGAGAGGGCAGGCTCTCAGAGACCAGGATGTGGAATCTGGGGACCTGGGAAAGAGTAGCGCCCATTCCAGGTGGGCCATTGTACCAGGCCCTACTAGCCCTGCCCTTCCCTGCACCCATCTCTTCTCCGTCCACCCCCCTACAGCCTTTCATCACTTAGCTACTGATTGTGCCCCATGGCTTGACGTTGGAGGGTTAAATGAGACGTGGGGTCCCGCCACAACTTCTAACCCTCTCCCCCAGATGCTCTTTGCCTCTGCTACAGTCCTGGGGCTTTTATCTTAACCATCCCTCCTACTCTTCCTTTCTCTCTCCCACCTTCCCTCCTCCCCCCCTTTTTTTTTAATATACTTATTTTGCTATTGGGGGAGGGGAATATCAAATGAACAAGATCACTTTTAAATGGTAGTTTTTATAAGATGTTATAAACTTGTATCTTTTTACCATTAAAGTGCAGTGTATGTTCCTTCGTGATATATTTAGGATATTTAAATAAAAAGAAAATGGGGCTTTTCTACATACTATCTCTTTTTTGGGAAACCTTTTCTTTGGGGCCAAAGTGGTTATCCTTTTTTCCCCCACATATAAGCACCCCAGATGTCCTGCATCCTGGAAACCACCATGTAAAACTCTTCCTCCACAGGAGCAACAAGTAGAAGTAAAAACAGGATATCGCTTCTGAATGAGAGAAAAAAACACGTACAGCAGAACCGAATAAGGTCGGGTACCAGCTGTGGTTCTCCAAGTGTGGTTCTGTGGTCCTCCTACAAATGCATGACCTGAGGGTTCACTAGCCCACCCTGACCAGCTGCTTCCCTGGGCAGCCACTTCCTAAATCTGTACACCAGGCTAAGAGCCCCTCCCTACCCTCAGGTGGAGGGGGAGCAACGAATGAGTTTTCCTGAGGCCCAGGCTCCACAGCCTGCTTTGGCCTTGGTGAAGCAGGAGGACAGCTGTGGTCTGAGGTAAGACCCTTTATTATCTACAGGGAGCAGGGGGCTAGCCCCACACTCCTCGTGAGGTAGGGAAGCACGGTTGCAGCAAGAGGCCGCCCTCGACTGTCGTTGAGCAGGAAGTAGGTGGTGGCCCTTCCTCAGCAGTGCCCTACCGGGCAGCTGAGAGAAAATAGAAGAGTCCTGGGATGAGTGTTCCTCTTCCCCATTCAGAGCAAGGGACTTGGGGCCCCCTGAAAGCGGGGATTGACTGTGGTCGTGATGGCACTTCTGTAGAGAGGATTGCTGTCCTGAGGAAGGAGATGGGAAATGATGAGGAAAAGCCCCAGCACTACTCCTTTACCTAGTCCTAAGTGGCCAGCCTAGAATTTGAGCGGCACCCCCAGAGCTGATGGAAGTTGGCAGAGGGGTGGAGCAAGGAGGTGGAGACCAGAGGTCTTAACCAGGGAAATCAAGCAAAACCCAGCCCAGCGGGGTAGGAGGCAGTCTCCCCACCTGCTTCCAGTTGAGCTGCTGCCGCTCCTTCTCAAAGCGGTTATATTCTTGGCGATCATAGATTTCCACAGAAAGCCGGTAAGCCAGGACCAGCCCCAGTCCCACTGCCACGATGCCCCCCACACAGCCCAGCACGATGGCCAGGGTGTGATTTGCTCCTTCTGTAGGGAAGAAACAACACAGGCTTCTGGGGGCTGGGGCATGGGGTTGATCAACGGTTGCCCACGAGGTGTCTGGCCTCCCTGGCCCTGCCTGTCATTGAAAACAAAGGGAACCCGGCAGGGCCCGAGGTTATCTTTGCAGTGCCCAGGGCTTTAGCCTTGCCCACTTGGTCCATCACCTGTGCTTTTGCCTGGACTCCCTGCTCTACTTCAGCCCGCACCCAGTTTCCCACTGTCTTCACCTGCCCAAGCCCAGAGTTCTGAGGCCGTACCTATCAGACTTCCAGGGCTCCCTTTGGCATGTCCACAGCATCCCTGCCCACTTACTCTCTTGGGGTCTCACTCGCAGTATGACCCTGCCTCTGGCTTCCTCCTCCACCAGGAAGAAGAAGAGCTGGTTGTCCAGGGTCCTCTCTCTGCACCAGCCATCATCCGGGATAGGGGCCAAATCCAGAGTCACGTTGGCGTTGGCACAAGCAACGCTGCAGTTGGCGGCCAGGGGACCAGTCCCAAAGGCCCCACACTCTGCACAGTCCCTGTCCAGTAGACACCAAGAGGCCAGCTGTGCCCCCCACACCACACGGCAGAGGGAGGCGAGCTGATGGGAGTGGCTCAGCCGGCCCTGCTGTGCCCCTGTTCCCAAGCTGTAAGACCCGTGGCCTCACCTGTGTCTCTCGCATGACGTCTTGCAGCCTGGGCACTGCTCACATAGGGCGCCGTAGTAGCCGTTCTGGCACTGGCAGCGGTTGCACGTGCAGTGTCCGTGCCCGCTGCAGATCCCTCCCTCAGCACTGACACAGCTGTCCGTATCCTTGCTGCACTCACATGCTCTGCCCGTGCGATTGGCATAACAATGACAGGCTCCACAACGGCAGCGGCCAAAGCCTGGGACAGAATCATGCACAGGGTGACAACCATGCCCCTCACAATGGACATCAAATGCCACCACAGGCTGCCTAGAGCTGAAGTGTTCCTGTGCGCCCCGTTCTCAAGTGTGCTGGACACCGCCAGCTCCTACCCCAGAGTCCGATGCTTGCCCTTGGTGCCGTGAAGTTCCCAGAGCCTAAATACCCTTGGGAGCCACTCTGACCCCACCCTTCTCCCAAAGTCTGCAGGTACCTCCACAGAGGATGCCCTCATGTCGCTCACAGCTGGCATCATCACACTCGCACAGAGGCCCGGAGCTCTGTCCACTGCAGCTGCAGCGTCCACACTGACACCGTCCCTTCCCGCTGCACAAGGGCCCTGTCCCATTGGGGGCCCGGCACCCAGATTCCAGATCTGGGGAGGACAGTTCAGCCTCAGAGCATTCACAGAGTCGACCCAGACGGCCGGAGTTACAGCTGGGAGAGAAAGGCAGAGCCAGAGTCAGGCAGAGCCAGAGGAGGGAAAGGTGGGTCGGAGAATTCAACCATCCCTTGATCTATCTTTCCCAGGATCCTCTACACCTCAGATCCCAAAAGAGGTGGAGAGAGATGAGTGGCTGAAGGGATGCCAGTGTATAGTTGAGCACCAAGGAGTAAAAGCAGAGTGAGTTGGGGGGGGGGGGCGGGGGGCGCGTGTCTTGGCATATCTGGGAAGCTGCAGATGAAAACGAAGGTGGCATTTGGGGATGTCTGGAGATGCCCATGGGAGGGCAGAAGGTAGAGGGGGATACCCGGGCTGGTCACGTGTGGACAGCCCTACGGGTGAAAGGAGGCAGGAATCCTCACCTGCACACCCCGCATTGCAGCAGCCCCTGGCCATCACTGCAGTAGGGAGCCCGGGGCTGGGTGTCACTGCAGTTACAGTCGCACAGTGTGTGCAGCTCCACAGTCAGCTCCTCTGAGAAGCCGAGGGCTCGGAGCCTCAGGAGATAGGGCTCTGAGAGGCAGTGAGTAGCTCGGAGAGTAACCAAAAAATTCACCTGAGGACAGCATGGGCAGAAATCAGACTTGAGATCCTGCATCCTCACATGTGCCCACCAAACCCACTGATGTTCCAGAAACCTATTCCTTAGGAAAGTAAGGAACAGGCTCATGCTAACACCCATCTCTTAGAAACCTGCTGGAGGAAGCTGCTCATTAAACCCTTTTAGGAAGGATGGATGGAGAACTACCACAAGCTTTTGCATTGTTCTCTGTGCCTGCCCCCCATCTTTTCCTGCCTGCTTCAATTTCCCACCCCCCCCCACCCCCACTTCCTTCCTTCTGCCTATCTTGGCTGGCTCTCACCGTCTGGTTGATTCGGACCTGGTTGCACTGGCCCCGGTCCCCAGCCTTACGCTCCCTCTTCTCAGGATCCCCACACTGAGATTCATAAGAGACGTGGACCCCAGGAGGGAGTGGAGAGTGTTCAAGGGTCACAGTGGATGACAGGCTCTGTGGAAGAGTGGGGGGGGGGGTTAACCACGTGAAGGCAGAACTCCAAACCCCACCTCGTGTCCTCTCCAGCCTTTCCAACTTCTGCCATGACCTGCCCTCTGCCTGCTGTGGAGGGGAGCCCTTGCATTCTGCCCGGTCAAGAGGGAAGTCTGCAAGAAGGGCACCGTGAAGACTTCGGGTGCACCACACAGGAGCCAGAGGCCTCTGGGGCAGCATTTCAGTGCGGCTGCAGCAAGGGCCACACTGGGAGGAAGCGAGGGGGGTGGGGGGGGTCCCAGCCCTCTCAAGGTGCAGTGGCTGCTTCTCAAACCCCAAATGAGGACCTATAACCTGGGTGCATAAAGGGCAGAGTCTTTAAATTGAGTTTGCCCTGGGAAATTTTCTCAACGTTGGTTCAGGACATGGTGGTTCCTGTCCTACAAAGCCTCTAGTGTGGTTACAGAGATAGGACTGAAACCCAAGAAGCAACTTAAGGATCTTCATGGTTCCTTCTATCTGTAAAACTCTGTGATTCCTATGAAAAATATCTCTGAGTTATTTGTAAGTTTAGTGAAAGTAGGCTCTAGATGTCACATTCTTTATGTACAGACTGATTGGGGCAAGAAGGCCAGCCCTTCCATCTATGTGACCTTGGGCAAGTCATTTAGGCCCCTGTCTGTATCCCCACCTACAAAATAGGGATGATACTAGTTAGCAAACGGGTTTAGCGGAGTTAACTGAGACGGTGAACAATGGTTGGTATGAAATACCAGCTCAGTGAATGTTCCTTCCCTTCCTTGCCCAGAGCAGGGCTCCATGCTTGGTCCAAACCAGACGTTTCAGATTTAAGAATGTAAGACTGAGCGAGTGAACTACGAATGACAGCCACAGGCAAACTGTAGGTGGTTGCTGTGGAGTGGCACACCAAAAAGTGACTGGTCTCTCTTAGTTCTGCTGCTCTCCCTGAGCCCCCTTTCCAGTGCCTGCCCTCTCCATGCTCCCCCCCCCCACCCGCCCCTCCCCAGTCCCAGCCCCTCACATTATAGGCATCCATGATGAGCTGCACCACGTTGCTGGAGTCCTCACTCAACTCCCCCACTGCAGACTTAGGAATCAGTTTACTCAGCTCCTGAGTTCAGGGAAATAGTGGATCACAGCTCAAGGGAAATGGGCTTCTAGGGGTCTGGAAGGAGGGTGTATTGGGGGGGAAGGCTCGAAGCAGGAAGGTCTGGCATTCAGCCAGCTCTCACCTGGTAGACAGGCAATGTGGCACTGGTGACGGCAAAGATGGGCTGGATGTTTGCTGCAGAGAGGGCCTGGGCTACCTGACCCACAGAGGGGTAGTCCTGGCCAGGGAGCAGGGACAGCGTGAGCACAAGTCTCCCCCACGACATCCGAGGTGCCCTCAGCCCAGGAAATCCAGGAACCAGGGTTCCACCAGCTAGAGGAACCCTGGAGGCTCAGGAAGGCAGAGGGAGGGGCTAGGGAATGGGGTGACACGGGGTTCTGTCTGAGCAGGGGGGGCACATGGAGAGAGGAGCTGCTGGAGGAGCAGGCAGGGTGCTCACTGGTAAGGACAACGAGGTTGGGGAGGGGGTCAGGAAGTAGAGGAGGCGTGGCTCAGATGGGGAGGGTTGGAGCAAGGGTGGGGACTCACAAACTCTGGGCTCCGACTATAGACGCCATTACTGTCCAAGTGGCAGTGCCCATCGCTGGGCATGAAAATGCCACCCAACTTCCCATCCCCAGCTGTGTGGAATGTGTCATCGGAAGTGAACACCAGCAGTCTGGACACATTTCTCCAGCCAATCTGCTCCTGGGATTGGGGGGTGGAGGTAGGCTATGCACCTGGGCTCTATGAGCCAAGGATTTGCCAGCCTCAATCTGAGTCAGTGTCTGTCTCCCTCCCCCCACCACCCGACCCCTCCAGCCCCCCCTCCAGCTCCGGCTCCCTGCTTCTCCCCAATCCCCCAGACAGGGCTGCTTCTAGTGGAGGCCTCTTATGAATTAGAAAAACATGCCTCTTCCTTAAGATATTTTACTCCAATCCACCAGGAAATTATTAAAATAAATATGCAAACTTCAGTGACTATGGTACAAACGGCACCCCTAGAACCAGGCACTGCATGACCCTAGGTGGTGGTCTTGGCCCCAAAGGGCTCTTCATACTCAGCTCCCTTCCCCTCCTCCTCACCTGGCAGAGTGCAGCCTGCAGAATGGCATCAAAGCCACCTTCAGGGGAGTCCAGGTTTCCAGACACGCTCTGGCGTCCCACCTCCCGCTCGAAGGCCTTAGCATCCGAGGTCAGGGACAGCACGTGGTGAAAACTGAACGGCGGCTGGCAGCGCTCCAGCCGGGTGGGACAGGGGTGGCGAAGTTTGGAGGGCACTGTGCTCACGAAGGGCAGCACCGTTTTGTCCACGAAGGAACCAAAGCCTGGGAGAGGGGGGATTCATGAAGGCTGTGCCCGAAGTCACTGGCCAGCAGCAGGGTAGAAGGGCTGCTGCCCAGGACTCAGAAGGCAGAGGTCCATGGGAAGTGGGAGGTGAGAGAGAGACAGTCACAGAGGAGTAGAGGAGACCATGAGAGCCGGTGCTCCTAGAGCACAGGGACTGAGTACCTGGCAGGTGCAAAGGGGTTAGACCGCTGACTCGGAGCAGGGCGGGGGGGTGGGGGTGGGGTATGGGGGGTGGAGGAGATTAAGAGGAGGACACAGTAGGGGTCAGGCAGGACCTCCCCAGGAAGAAGGAGAGGGTAGTAGCAGCATGAGGCACAGGAGGGGATCTTGAACAGGGCAGATGTGAGTGTGGAAGGCACAGCCAGGGACAGGGACATTTAGACCTTTTCCGAGAGACACAGGGCTGAGACAGTGGCATCAGGGCATATCTGGGCTATTAGGTCCAGAGTGTGCTGTGTGACCCCTGGGAGCTGTCTGATAACAGTCTGGCCAGACTCTGGGCCTCAGTTACCCCACCTATAGTCTCTTAAGTGCCCTCCCGTTCTGTCCTAGACGATGGATGTTCTGGGAGAGAGACGCCAGAAACCTGCCCTGGCCAGGTCTGTTAAGAACTGGGAGAGGGCAGGCGGGGCCCCTGTGTGCCCAGGCCATTGGCAGAGGCAGAAGCGGCTTTTGCAGGTGGAGGCTGAGGGCCGGCAGGGTGGGGGTGCGGTCGTGCTCACCGATGCGCACGGAATGGGTGACCTTCTGCAGCCCCACCAGCAGGTCTTGCCCAAGCTGGCGCACGCGCTCCAGGTCGTCCTTCATGGAGTAGCTCAGATCCATAAGGTAGTACAGGTCGACGGGGTAGCCCTCAGCCCGGAGGAAGCGCACGCGGAGCTGCTGGGGCTCCCCTGGGGGAGGGGGAGGAGGGCGGGTCCGCGAGCCTGACCGAATCCCAACCCCCAACCCGGACCTCCTCAGGCCCCGCCCCGCCGCCCCCTGACTTACCCGGCCGCAGCGTGACCCGGACCTGCTGCGGCGCCAGCTGGGTGGCCCCCTCGCCGCGGTCACCCTGGCTGAGTGGCTGGTCCTGAAGCACCTCCAGCCAGCCACGGGGCTCCTCCAGCTCCCCCGGGGGGCAGCCCTGGGCCAGCAGCTCCTGTCGCTGGCCACAGCGCTGCTCCTCTGCCTTCCCCGACGCGGTGAAGTTCTGCGCCCGAGGGGAGGAGCGTTGGGGACCCCATTCCCCCACGCACCACCACCCCCAGCCCTGCTCCCAGACCTTCCCGCCCCTGGATCCCGGCTGCTCCTAACCCTCCCCTCGCGGCCAGTTCCCTGAGCCCCTCCGATGCCCTCCCTTCCCTGTCCCCCCAACAGCCACCTTGTCCTGTCTTCCTTGTCAGAGCCCGCTTCCTCTAGCACCCCCCTCCCCCCCTTATCTAGATAACCCCCTTTCCTTAGCCACCTACCCTTCTCCTCCCCCTGGGGCCACAGACTTCCTGTTGCGATCTCAGGGACCTCACTACCACAAGAAAAAGAGGAGCCTGGCCTCCTAGTCCAACCTCCCCTGCATGCTTAGGCCGAAGAGGGAAGGGTGTCAGGCTGAGACCCAGGATAAGTTCCTGGGAAGGGGAAGGACAGGGACAGAAGAGGAGACAGCCCTTCCCCCCAGTGTGGCTAGCACCCCAGGGACTGGCTGGGGAGTGACTGAGGAAGGAAATGGTTACAGTGGCTTCTCAACTGGCCCTGGTACCAGACTCGGGTCCAGAGATGGAAGGAGGCAGACACATTATCTGACTGTCCCCAAAGCCGCTGCCTGGCACCTCTGCTCTCGGCCTCATGCTGACTCTGAGTCTCTTCTGTACTGGCCCTCCCAGATTCACTATGGGCCTTCCTCTTGGGCTGGATCAGCCTCAGCTCCCCCTGTGTGGCTGTGCCCTCTCCTTCTGGTGAGTTTGCCCTCATCTCTCATCTAACCCTCCCTCTTCCCTTAAGACAGTTCGGTTCCCACCAGCGCCCCCAACTCAGGCACCTGCCATGCTCTGTCACTCCATGAGCCCTGGCTCTTTAAGGCATAAACAAAGAACAGCCTTGTCTGACCTTCCAGGGAGACACCCACCCGCCAGCATCCTTCTTGGCTACTTAGGTAGATCAAGCCTTTCCCCCCAAGTGTACACACTTCTAACTCCTTCCCTCCTACTCTCCCAGCCACAGGCTGCTACATACCTTAGGAACATTATTAGGCACACACACCCCCAACACAGACTCAGAAACCCAGTCACACACTTTCTGCTAAGGACAAACCCCCAGTGTGATGGCATTTGGAGATGGAGCCTTTGAGAAGAAATTAGGGTTGGATGAGATCACGAGGGTAGAACCCTCATGATGGGATGGATGCCCTTCTAAGAGGCACCAGAGAGCTTGTCTACAGCCTGCCTGCAAGCCAGGAAGAGGGTTCTCACCAGAAACCAAATTGGCTGACATGTTGGTCTTGGACTCCCAGCCTCCAGAACGATGAGAAATAAATTCCTGATGCTTAAGCCACCCAGTTTTGTTATGGGAGCCCAGGCTGACACACACACTTCCTCACATGTGTACACGTACCACAGGTCCCCCTCCCTGTACACAAGCAAGGACACACTTCCTCCAAATTTGTGGTTACAAGTCTTGTCCGTATATACACGAATGCACAGGTACATAAACATACACACACAGGAAACTTGCATGCTTGTGTATGCACGCATGCACACACACACAATCACATGCGGGAGTCCTACATGCACAAAATCAGTCACACACGGGACTGCAGCGTGTACCCAGAAAACCACACAATCACACACGTTTCCATTCTGCACATACACGTACACAGGGCTCAGAGGCCACAGGCCCATCTTTACCAGTTGCTTGCACCAGGCACAGCTTGGGTGTGAGAGGATGCATTTCTGGCAGGTGGGCGCTGGCTGGCAGGACTCCGGCAGGGACAGGTCAGGACCCCCCCATTCTGTGCCCTTCTCTGAGGATGAGATCTTGGCATCCAACTCACTCTCCCCTCTGTTCAGAGCCAGCAGGAAAACAAGGACCATTGATAAAGCTACCATGGCCTGTAATAGGATATAAAGGGGGACATATGGGTCCTTAGGGAGGCCCTCCAGGTTCTCAGTCCTCTAAAATTAGTCTGTGGTTGGGGCACCTGTATGACTCAGTGGGTTGAACGTCTGACTTCGGTTCAGGTCATGATCTCCCGGTTTGTGAGTCAGCTTGGAGCCTGCTTAGGATCCGCTGTCCCCCTTTCTCTGCCCTTCCCCCACTTGCTCTCTCTCTCTCTGTCTCTCTGTCTCTCTCAAAAATAAGTAAACATTTTTTTAATAAAATAAGTCTGTGGTTGTTACTCTCAAAACTCTACCCCAGGGGTGCCTCGCTGGCTTACTTGATAGAGCATGACTCTTGATCTTGGAGTCATGAATTCAAACCCAAGCCTGGGCGTAGAGCTCACTTTAGGGAGAAAAAAAAAAAAACCCTCTACTCCAAATCTTCATCTCCCCTCATAGTTTCCCTTGCCCCTGTGAATTCAGCAGTTTCTTCAAAATGTCGGGAAAGGGCAGGTACCAGGCCTGGATAGGAGCCTCGGAGAAGCCCTGTCCCTCCTGTGTGCAGGCTTCACTAGGGCCAAGGTGGGCAAGATGGCTTAACAAGAGTCTGGGGACTAGGCCTGGAAGCACTAAGGCCTACATCCAGCCAGGTCTGTTCACCAAGATTTCAGGCCACTGTGGAAACAGAACTGAACAGCAAACAGACCAGGCTCTGGTCCTGCTTCAGTCTCTCACTGGCTGTACAGCAAGTCAGACTTTTTCTCTGGACCTTAGTTTCCACATCTGTAAAGAGAGAGAGTTGAATAAATAATCTGACAGTCCTGACAGCTTTAATAATCTTGGATTCTAAATAAAGGAGGAGGGGACACCTGGGCGGCTCAGTTGGTTGAGCATCCAACTTTGGCTCAGGTCACGATCTCACAGTTCGTGGGTTCGAGCCCCGCGTCGGGCTCTGTGCTGACAGCTCAGAGCCTGGAGCCTGTGTTCAGATTCTGTGTCTCCCTCTGTCTCTGACCCTCCCCTGCTCACACTCTCTCTCAGAAATAAATAAAACATTAAAAAATTAGAAAGAAAGGAAGGAAGGAAGGAAGGAAGGAAGGAAGGAAGGAAGGAAGGAAGGAAGGAAGGAAGAAAGAGAAAGAAAGAAAGAAAGAAAGAAAGAAAGAAAGAAAGAAAGAAAGAAAGAAAGAAAGAAAGAAAGGAAGAAAGGAAGGAAAGAGGAGGGTCAAGGGCTATAAACAAAGGAGGAAAAATCTGGGAATAGGAATGAGAGGAAGGAAGGCTGGAGCTGATGAAGTGCATGAAAGAGGCAGGGAAGGGTAGCCGACATGGTAGCAAGAGGAATACAGATTAAACCATAAGAAAACTTTCTAAAGGTCTGGGATAACGGAGGAAGGCAGGCCACGGTTGGCAAGACTTTCTCTTTCCTATACTTTGCACAAAGCAAATACAGACTGGAGAAAGAGGAGCACCTGGGTGGCTCAGTTGGTAGCATCCAACTTCCGCTCAGGTCGCAATCTCGTGGTTTGTGGTTCTGTCAGCACAGAGCCTGGAGCCTGTTTCAGATTCTGTCTCTCTCTCTCTCTCTGCCCTCCCTCTCTTGCTCACACTCTTTCTCTCAAAAATAAACATTTAAAAATGTTTTTTAAAAAGAGAGAGAAGAGAAAGAACCTGAAGGCATGGTAATTCCTGGAATGACCTCTAGGGAAGAGTAGGCAAATTTCTGATTTTTAAAAATGTATTAATTAAATAAATCCATAACCATGCTTCAAAATTCAAAAAGTTAAATCACAATGGCCTTTTTTTAGAGGTGGGAAAACTGATCCTATACGGATTAATTATATGATTCATTCAATTATATGGAATTGTGGGGTGTCTGGATGGCTCAGTTCAGGGCATGATCTCGGAGTTTGTGAGTTCGAGCCCTGCGTCGGGCTCTGTGCTGACAGCTTAGACCCTGGAGCCTGTTTCAGATTCTTTGTGTCTCTCTCTCTGTCTGTCTCTCTCAAAAATAAATAAACATTAAAAAGTTTATTTTAATTTATTTCTTTAATCTTTATTTTTGAGAGAGAGAGAGAGAGAGAGCCAGAGTGTGAGCAGGGGAGGAACAGAGAGAGAGGGAAAGACAGAATCCAAAGCAGGCTCCAGGCTCTGAGCTATCAGCACAAGAACTCAACGCGGGGCTCGAACTCATGAGTCGCAAGCTCATGATCTGAACTGAAGTCGGACGTTCAACCGACTGGGCCACCCAGGTGCCCCTCAAAAAAATTTTTTTAATTATGTGTAATTGCATGGGACCATCAACAGCCAAAACAATCTTCATCTCTTTTTTTTCTAAAACAATCTTGAGAGGCACCTGGGTGGCTCAGTCGATTAAGCTTCCAACTTTGGCTCAGGTTATGATCTCACAGCTCATGAGCTCAAGCCCCTTGTCGGGCTCTGTGCTGACAGCTCAGAGCCTGAAGCCTACTTCAGATTCTGTGTCTCCCTCTCTCTCTGCCCCTCCCCCACTCTCTCTTTCTCTCTCTCAAAATAAATAAACATTAAAAATATTAAAACAATCTTTTTTTTTAATTTTTTTAATGTCTTATTTATTTCTAGGAGAGAGAGACAGCGTGAGCAGGGGAGGGTCAGAGAGAGAGGGAGTCACAGACTCTGAAACAGGCTCCAGGCTCTGAGCTGGCAGTCAGCACAGAGCCCGAGGCGGGGCTCGAACCCACGAACCGCGAGATCACGACCTAAGCGAAAGTCGGACGCTTAACCGACTAAGGCACCCAGGCGCCCCAAAACAATCTTGAATGAAATGGGAGGACTCACACTTCTCACTGTCAAAACTCACTAGAAAGTTATAGTGACCAAGACAATGTGATACTGGCATAAGGAGAGCCATATAGATCAATGAAATAGAATTGAGAGTCCAGAAATAAATCCATGCATTTACAGCCAATTGATTTTCAACAAGGATGCCAAGTTATTTTATGGGGAATGAACAGTCTCTAGCAAATGGTGCTAGGAGAATTAGATATCCACATGTAAAAGAATGAAGTTCTATCCCTGCCTCACAACATATACAAAAATTAACTGAAAATGGATCAAAGACCTAAATGTAAGCCCTTGAACCATAAACTCTTAGAAGAAAATGTGAAGGTAAATCTTTGTGATCTTGGAATTCACAATGGATTCTTAGCTATGACATCAAAAGCACAAGCAACAAAAGAAAAAATAGATAAACTGGACTTCATAAAAATATAAAAGTCTTGCGAATCAAAGAGCACTACGAAAAGACAGGCTACAGAAAGGGAGGAACTATTTACAAATCATATATCTGGTAAGTATCCAGAGATGTCGAGAACTTTTACAGCATGACAACAAAAAGGGAAACCACCCAGTTTTTAAATAGCTAAGGACTTAAATAGACATTTCTTTGAAGCAGATAGACAAATAAGCAACAAGCACATAAAAAGATGTTCAACGCCATTAGTCATCAAGGAAATGCAAATCACATACCACAGTGAGATACCACTTTACCCCCAGCAGAATGGCTATAATAAATTAAAAAAAAAAAAAGTGATGGAGAGGATGTGGACAAAACAGAACTATTATACACTGCTGGTGGCACGGCATTGTGGGAAACAGCTTGATAATTCCTCAGTAAGTTAAAACAAAAGCTTGTACATGAATGTTCAGAGCAGTATTATTCACAGTAGCCTAAAGGTAGAAACAGCGCAAACGTCCATCAACTGACGAATGGATAAACAAAATGTGATCTATCTGTGCGGTGAAATGTGGCCCTAAAAAGGAGTGATTTAGTGCTGATTCCGGCTAAAACATCGATGAACCTTGAAAACACTAGGAACACAAGTGAGCGAAACTGGTCACAAAAGACCACTTATTGTCGGAATCCATTTGTGTGAAGTATTCTTTTATTTTTTTAATTTTTTTTAATGTTTTATTTATTTCTAGGAGAGACAGAGAGAGAGAGACAGCGTGAGCGGGGGAGGGTCAGAGAGAGAGGGAGTCACAGACTCTGAAACAGGCTCCAGGCTCTGAGCTGGCAGTCAGCACAGAGCCCGACGCGGGGCTCGAACCCACGACCCGCGAGATCATGACCCAAGCGAAAGTCGGACGCTTAACCGACTAAGCCACCCAGGCGCCCCTGTGTCAAGTATTCTGACTCCACCAATCCACAGAGACAGAAAGTGGGTGCCGGGGATTGGGGAGGATAAGGAATCACGTCTTGATAGGCAGTTTCCTTTGGAATGAAAAAGTTCTGGAACTAGATGGTGGTGATGGTCGCACAACATCGTAAATGTGCTTAATGCCACTGAACTGTACACTTAAAAACGGTTTAAATGATCAATTTTATGTGCATGTTATCACATCAAAAATCAAAACATTGGGATAGTGAGAAATCTCCCGTTCCTATCCTCCTCCTCCTCCTCCTATTTCCATACCTCACGCTAAATAAATAACAATCATTTTTAATTATCTTTTGTGGCTGATAATCCTTTGAGAGATTGCATACACAAACTAATGTGAAAATATATACTCTTCAAATGGTAGAATCAAATGACAGAATTCTACAATCACAATTCCAGAATACATACCCCTTTTTTTCTTTAAAAAAATTTTTTAATGTTTTTAAAATTTATTTTGAGAGAGAGTATGGGCAGGGAAGGGGCAGAGAGAGAGGGAGAGAGAGAGAATCCCAAGCAAGCTCTGTGCTGTCATCACAGAGCCTAATGCAGGGCTCGAATCTATGAACCATGAGATCATGACCTCTGCCAAAATCAAGAGTCAGACACTTAACCGACTGAGTCACCAGGTGCCCCCTTTTTTTCTTTTAATTACTTTTCTTGGCAATCCTGCTACTCAAGAAAATAAAGAACTTCCTTGTTCATTTTCACAGCGGTATACATTTCCATTGCATGAATGTATCAAAGCAGGGGGTTAGTCTCTCCTGGGGATTGAAATTGTTTCTAATTGCTCACAGTTAAAACTAATGCTGGGGGCGCCTGGGTGGCTCAGCTGGTTAAGCATCTGACTTTTGGTTTCCGCTCAGCTTGTGATCTCACAGTTCATGGATTCCAGCCTCGCACTGGGTTCTGGGCTGTCAGCACTGAGCCCGCTTCGGATGCTCTTTCTCTCTCTGCCTACAACCCCCTCTCAAAAGAAATAAAGTTAGAAAGATAAAGAGATAAAACTACTGCAATGAAAATCCATGGATTTATCGTTTCACACGTGTGCAAGTAGATCTGTAGGATAAATCCTGGGAAGAGGATTTGTGTAAATAGGTATCATTTGTAACATTGGCGAGTAATTGCTGACGTAACCGCCTTAGCAACTGTGCCAGTTTATATTCCCATCAGTGGTGGGTGTATGAGAAAGGCCAGCTAACTCCGTGTCTCAAATCATCTGCATCCTCCCCAGCCTGGAGTTAGATTCCGACTGGGGAAGGGGTGGGGTGACGTCAGCTGTCCTGCTCTTGGGACCTCAGGGGTAGTTTATGTATGTCTTGGGGCCTCCACCCCCATGCGAGGCGGGTTCAGGCTTAGCTTCAGTGTAACCTCAGCCTGCTTGCTCTGCACGCCTGTGGTCGAGGAGGCCTGAGATGCTGCAGCAGAAAGCCCAGTTTTGACTCATCTCAGGTGGGGCCCCCAGGATAGGACAAACCAGAGACCTCAACCCCACTCATGTCCGCTGGACAGCGCTCCCCAACCCCCTTCTCCCAATTGTCCCCTCGTTTTTTACTTGGGGATACATGACCTGCCACTTGTTTCTGTTAAGTTCTCTCTCTGTCTCCCTCACTTTCTCCTACCCACCCCCCCCATTAAAAATGTGATGACCTCTCTCTGCTGCATTTCTCTTCTCCATGTCTTTCCAGTTCTTTGTTTTACTTCCTTTCCCCCGCCTATCCTAACCATAGAGAGGCAGAGCTGTCTGGCTCGATCCCCTCTTTTTACAAATGGAAACCTGAATCCCAGAGCCAGAAGTGACTTGCCCACAGCCACACTATGAACAGGGATGAAGAAAGGCCGGGACTCGGTTTGTCTGCCACTTTCCTCGCCTCCAGCCCAAGCACCATCATCATCAAAAGTTGTGCCTTCTCCCTACCAGTTCCAATGGGTCCACCTACTCCCCTTTCTCTTGCCTTGATGGGTCCTCGGCAGTCAGTTCAGTCTTCTTTCCCTCCATGGTCGTCCCATTTTCCTGGACTCTGTCCTGACTCCAACACCCTAACACCCCCTTCAGCACCTGAGAGACAGAGCCTTGTCCCAACCTATCCAGATCTCCCAAATCCAGTGGAATCCTCTGCTGCCCACTCAGTGTCCCAAGGAGGGACGGGAACTGAGCCATGGCGCCACAGTCTCCCAGGAATCTGGGCTCCATAGCCAAGGCGCCCCTGGCAGATCTGAGCTGAGCACCAGGCACTAGGCAGGGATAGCAGCGGGCGAGTCCTATTGCGAGAGCCCTACCTACGTGACATAATCCGTGGCACATGGCAGGCACTCAGATGATGGCAGTCATACATCCCCTTCCTTCTCTGCTTCCCTCCAGCCCCGCTTTTGGGAAACCCATGCAGAAGAGATAGGTGGGGGGCAGGGGTGGGGTGAGGGGGCAGGGAGAGCTTGACAAGCTGAAGGAGGGAACAGGGATGAGGATATCTCAGGAATGCAGAAAGGACTTCAGAGCCTTTCCCAAGTCTCACTTGAACCCTGGGTGTCTTGGGGTCAGAGCCCAGAGCCCTCTTCCCGGTAGGCTGGGAGCAGGGGTTGGGGCTGGGTTAGTAAGGAGAGGAGGCAGGAGGGCTGGTGCCCTGGTACTCACAGGTGCGTGCAGAGCAGCCCTTCCTCCAGCCTCGCGGCAGCCTTTGTGTACTGATCTGGGAGGCTGCAGAGGAGGAAGTGACACACCCTGGGGTGGGGTGGGGGGAGATTTCAGGGTGGTGGGGTAACTGATCTAGAAGGTGGGGCCCAGAGGGGTGGAACTGGGCCAAGGGGGCTGACAATACAGGGATCTGAAAGGAAGCAAGGAAGCCCATCTGTCTACTGGGCACCTATTACATGCCGTGCATATCACAATATTGTAACTAATCCTCGCAGCCACCTCATGACATATCCATATGCTAATATCCCCCCCGCCCACCCCCAGCCCAAATTTCACAGATGTAGAGGCTAAGAGGAAAGGGAGATGTTGAGGTTCAGAGGTAAGCAATAAAAATCTTTGCCCAAGGTCACATCGTAATAACTAGCTGGTCTGAGGTTTCAACCCAGGGTCGATGGGACCCTTCCACTTCCTCATACAGGAACACGATAGCAAGGAAGAAATATGGAGGTACTAAGTACTGGAATGAGGGGGAAATTCGTGGCTATGGGCTCTAATTTTGAAAACCAAGTGCCCACTGTACCATGGTGGACGCTTAACTCCATGGGCTCTGGAGCCAAACTGCCTGAGCTCCAATCCTGGATCTGTCACTTACCGCAGTGGGTACTTAGGTAGTTACTTAACCTTCCTGTGGCTTCTTCTCATCTGTCAAGTGGAATGCAGGACTGTTATGGGAATCAAATGAGGGGACTCCTACCATTGCTTACAAGAGAGCCTGGCACAACCTAAGGGCTTGATAATAGACTCAGTGGCTGAGAAGTAACACGGTGAGAAGCGGAGAGGCTGAGAACTTCAAGGTCAAGGCAGCTGGGAAGTTTGCAGAGAGACACAGGGCCAGGTTCAGAGAATGGGACTGGGAGGCCACTGTGCCAAGACAGCGGTAGAAGCTGGGAAAGGCGTAGAGGAGTCCGAGAGTGCGATAATGGCAAGGATGAAGCCTGTATGGAGAAGGGGGATGTGGAAAATACCCGGCCGGCCCACACTTGACCACAGGGAACTCTGAGAAGGAACTGGATGTGAGATCTGTCACAGGTCCGCCTCCTCTGCCTGAAGGGGCACTCTGCGCAGCAGGGACTGAAAGGCAGGCACCTAGCCAAGTGCCTATGTCTTAGTGGGTGCGCAGGCAGCATCAGGTGGATCTCAGCAGTGTAGCCGCTGGGGGGAGCAACTGGGGATGGGGTTGGGGGGAGGTGACGGGGGAGGGGGGGTGGGCTTCTTCTGGGCCTCAGGCTACCAGACCTTGTACCCTTCCCCCACAACCAGGGGTTACCATGGTGATGACCCCTTCTTCCCCACAGGCCCTGTGGTTTCCTCTAGAGCTTCTTTCACTTTCTTCTTCTGCTTTTCCCCAATCTTCTCTCTCCTCTACTCCCACATCCTCAACCTCTCTCTCCCATACGCACAGGTCATCCTGGAAGAAAGTCAGGTACAAGGTAGGCAGGGTGCTGTCCCAGGGAAGAAGGTGGGCCACGGGAGGGGGGGCGGAGGGGGAGTCACAGACAGTGAGGGGGAGAGTACAGGGGTACAGTGGTAAGTCCTGAGTGGGCTGAGGATGGAGCTGTTGCAGAGGTGAGGCATGTAGGGGCAAGGATGTTAGTGCAGAAGGTAACAGTGGGGTCATGGGGGGTGAGGTCCCGGGGTAAGGTGGGGTCACAAGGGGCAGAGGGAGTGATCTGTAAGGTGATAGTGGGGTCACAGAGCAGGGGAGCTCATGAAGTAAAGGGAGCGTTGGCGTAAAACTGAAACACTGTAACTTAGATGCAGGCTGTGGTTCCCCTCTTCTGGGGCCCGAGACCCTCACGAGAACCAGTGCAACTTCCACAAACCCCTTCCGCAGAGAAGGGCAGATATGCACCGACACTTAACTGGGGGTGGGGACAACTTAAAAGACCTCTGGGCCCACTCACACCTCCCCAGAGGCCCACTGTGTCCAATCTAAGAACACACGCCTGGTGGCTGTGGGAGGCCCAGACACCCAGCCTAGGCTCCTGGGAGCTCCCTTTACCCCACCTTCCAACACCCCCATCCAGGCACATTCCATCCGATTTCCTTGGTTTCCCTAAGAAAGCTACAGAATCCGGTAGATTAGGCGCTCACCTTCCTCACCCAGACCCTCTCCAGGTCAGCTGGTCACTTCCCCTGCCACTTGCCAGAAGGAGCCACACGCCATCCATGAGTTTCCATCACTTTATTTTGCAAAAATAGAAAACTCAGCAATATGCGATACAGCGGGGGAAGGGGAGATGTAAACAGAGGGGAGGGAACAGCACCCTGACCCCCCAGAGAAAAAGGGGAGCCAGCGGGAATCTTATTTGGCAGCTAAATACAAACTGGGGATTGGAGGATGAAGGGAGGGGTCACAGGGGCCCTGGGCTCCCCCTCCCAAGACCCCTGGAGGAAGGGGTCAAGTCCAGGGTGTAAACAAAAGCTAATAAATAAATAGAGGTTTCCTCTGGGTCAGGGAAGGATCAGCTAAGCAGCGCCCACCCCCCCACTCCCTGGGCCAAGCTGCTCTGGAGATCAAGGGGGGGAAGGCACTCGGGGTGGGGGGGGAGGGATCCCCTGGTCCCTCTGTAGTGTAGGAGACTCCCTGCCCCGGTGGCTGAGATGGGAGGCAGGGGAAGCCCAAGGCACATGACAGGGCCGGGGGAGGGGCTTGTAACGGAGGGCACAAGGTCAACTCTGGGCCCAGGCAAAGAGGTGCCGAATGGACTTGTAGCTGTCCCTTTCACCCTCTGGCCCTCCACAGAAATGCAGGGCCCAGCCTGCCCCAGCCTGACCTGGCACGAGGAGGGGGCACAGAGGGCAGCGTGCACCTGGCAGGTGCATTACGTAGCATGAGGCACCAAGGGCAGGGGCAAGAGGGTGGGCTCAGCCCCCCCCCTGCACCCCCTTTTTGGTCTCTAGTGTTCCTGTTTGCTCCCAGAGGCCTGAGCACCTGGCAAAGGAAGGGGCTGCGGCACTGGCAGGGTCTTCCTCCTGCCCTGGGGAGCCTGGGACCCTGGTGTCTGAGGGGCAGTGCTGAGAGTTTACAGTCCCAACCCAGGCTCACCCCTCTGCCCTCTCTCCTGGTGGGGGCAGGGCAGGCCCCTGAGACAGGGGAGGGAGCCCGTCAGAACAGGAAGGGGATGAACACAGAGGCACCCCTGGAAACTTTGGCAAAAACAAGGAGCTCACTGGGAGGGGTGGAGAGAGGGCAGAGCTCGTCCTCCCCCAGTCACTGGAGGTGTCTGGGAGATGGTCAGTCTGCTGCCTGGAGCCCCAACCCCCACGGCAGGAGAAGTCAGGGGCCCTGGTCAGGCTGGGGGCTGCACCCCCCTTTGCCCTGGCCCCGGGGAACCTCATCCTCGCTAGAGGCCTTGGGGTGGGGACCAGGCTGCGAGGAATCGTCCTCAAACATTTCGGGGTTCTCCAGCATCTCTCGGATTAGGGGAGGCATCGGGCCCGGAATCTCCATCTTCAGGGTAATGGCCCTTTCCGCTCCTGCAACAGAGGAACAAAGAGGTTCAGGGGGACAGAGGCCCACGGCCCTTGAGGCCACCTCCCTAACCTTTCTTGGCTGTCCCGGGACTGCCCTCTGGGGGCTCCCAGCACAAGCCTGCTACTTACTTGTCCCTGCCTCCTGCAGGGTTCCTGGGGGCCACTCCTCCGCCTGCAACTTCTACCTGCCTTCTCTGCCAAGCCTGCTGCCATTTTTTCAGGCCATCTCCTCAAAGATCGCACCAGGTCCAAGTGGCAGCCACACTCCTCAGACACCCCACCCTCCCACGTCCACAGCTGGCCAATTGTTCCCAGGCATATTCTTCCTCACGTTTACAAGTATAGCTGATATTTATGGAACACCTACTATCTGCCAGCCGTCCTTCTGACCCATCAATGTCCAACAGAACTTTCTGTGATGATGGCATTATCTGCTTCATCCAGGACAGTCATCGCCAGCCAGCGAGCACTTGAAACACGGCTACTGCGACTGGGGAGTCGCATTGTTAAGTCAGGGCAGTTCTAAGCCCGCTCGTGTTAATTCGTTTAGTCCTCTCCGATAGCTTATGAGGAAATACAGCCCGGTTTACAAACACGAAAATAAGGCACCAAAAGTAAAGGGAGTTGCCCAGAGTCTCGCCACGAGCCCGCGGCAGAGCTAGGATTCCAGAGTGTAGGCCGCCCGGTTCGCGCCCACGCGGTTCTTGTCTCTGCTTGTCTGCCTGCCTGCACTGGGAGACCAACAGCTCCAGGAAGAGAGAGGGGAGGATCCCTCATGACTCACCCTTGGTGCTGATGCCCCGGAGGTCAGTGATCTTCATGAGCATCCTCGGGAACATATAGGGCTGGCTGGGCCGCCGCCGGCGGGCATAGAGCCTCAGGGCCTCCAGCAGTGGCTCCTGTAGCTTGTCTACTTTTTCAGGTTCCTCCAGGTCCATGCGGTCTACAGGAACAAGCACAGTGCAGTGAGAGAGGAAGAGATGGGGGACACAGCGACAAGTGGCTGCTCCCCAGCTACCCCAGACCCATGGCACTCCAGGCCCCAAACTCTGTCCCATCAACCCTTTGCCTATTGTTCCTGAGCCGATCCAGGCCACCTCCCCTGCTCCAAGCCCTGTGCCTTCTCCCCTCTGGTCAGTCACTCCTGCCCGGACCCCTATGTCAGCACCAGTATCTGGGACCCTCTCAGCTCTCTCTGACTCTGCTCTCCTTTTTGTTCTATCCTCCGGGGCTGCTCGGGAGCCTGTCCGGGGTCTGAGAAGTCTGTGGATGGGGCAGGTGCGACAATCTCAGGGGGGAGGGACCAAGGTCTCCTGCCTGGTCAGAGATCAGGTGTGGGCTGTGGTGGGAAAGGAGCCTGAGCAACCACCAGGGGGCGCCCCAGCACCTCCGCAGATGAGGCAGATGGCGCTGAGCAGTCCTGTCTCCGTGTCATCCATCTCCAGTGGCAGGAGCTGCCCCGCAAAGGCAAAGACGAGGTCTGTGAGGGGCCCAAAGCCGGCGTTGTGCATCTGGGTCCGGTTCAGGGTGAGCCCATCAGAGAAGGTCATGGTGTCCTGCTCTGGGGTGTACCTTGTGCAGATCCGCAGCATCTGGGGGGGGGGGAGGGTTAGTGCTGTTTCTGGGGAGGAGCACCCGTCCTGGTGGGGAGAAGGGGCAATGGGGTACACACGGAAGACGAGGAGAAAGAGGGCAACCTGAAGCGGGCATGAGGAGGAAGGCAGAGGGGGAGAATCCGAAGCCTGGGGAGGATTGGGGAGGCAGAAGGAGGCAGAGGTCCAGACGTGTAGGACCAGGTCTTGGGGCAGGGGGTAAGATACAGAGAAAGCTTGGGTTTAGAGGCGATCTGGGGAGTCCCAGAGTGGAGGGGGAAGGAGAGATCATGAAATCTTTGTGGTAGACCAACTCCCTGGCCTCCCACGAGGGTCCGGCCGTGGCGGGAGACATGCCACAGGGCTTCACTTACCAGGATGTCTAGGCAGGCAGCCTTGAGCAGAGTGATCTGGTCAGCAATGCTGAGCCCTGTAAAGCCAGGCAGCCGCTTGGCAAACTCCACGATCTTGATGATGCACTTGGTGGCCAGCTCGCTGAACTTGTCCCACAGCCCCAGATCCAGCTGCACCCGGTGATCTGCGCTGGAGTTCTGCAGGGAGGGCAGGTTGAATGCAAGCTGAGGCCCGCCCTGCGGGTCGTCTTCCTTCTGCCCAAACCCCAAGCTCTCCCCTCTGCATTCTGTCGCCCTTCCCTGTCCTCAGCAGAGCATGGCCATATTGAGCCCCTACCAAGTCCCCAAAGCGAACAATCCGCTGCCCTCACTGGACTCACCGTGGTGTATTTGCCCAGCTGGCAGAGTGAGGGGAAGGTCTCCTGATGAGCTTTGCTGACCTTGGTGATGAGCTCTTCCAACTGAGGGCTCAGCTCATAGCTGTCAAGTGACCCTTCCTCCTTCACCTCTTTCTTCTTCTTATTCCGGTCATTCCGCACAGCTTGGGGGCAAAGGCACAAACAAAGAGGGTCAGGACCTTCAGAACGTCCCTCTGGGTACCCCTCTCACCCTGATATCAGGCACTCAGTCCTTATCATGAATATCTATTCCCTGGGAAGCCCCTAATCACTGCCTCAGTTTCCCTAGCTCCTACAGTAGCTCCCATTCCCAGGCTGGCTCTCTCCAGCCCCACCCAGGGCCTGCAGCCCCTGCTCCCTCCCAGAGCCACTCGGCTCCATCCTGCCCTTCCTGTCACCCTGCAGGAGCTGGGGAGGGGGGGGCAGGATATGCGGGCGGCAGGATATCCACTTATAGCCTTGGCAGCACAATGGCGCAGGGGAGGGGGGGCACCCCAGATCCACCTCAGGCTCAGTCTTGGGAGCAGTGGAGAGGACTGGAGAGCCCCCCCAACTTCCCCATAAAATGGCAAAGTGAGCCAGTAACCCCCATTCACTCATTCAGAGGAAGGATTAAGCTCTGACAGGGGAGAATGGCAAGGGGTGGAGCCTCCTAGGTGAATGGCACTAATCAAACAGGACTGGCCAGGGAGGAGGCAGCATCCCAGGGCAGGCCAGGTCTCAGAGGTCAGGGAAGTGGGGGTGGCCAGTGGGAGAGGACAGCAATGACCGGGTAGGGCAGGAGGGGCCCCTGTTCAGGCCAGCGCTAGGGGCCTACCTTCTTTGGACATGCCCACTTCAAAGCACTTCTGTAGCCGACAGTACTGGCAGCGATTCCGCGTCACCTTGTTGATGATACAGTTTTTGTCGCGGTGACACGTGTACACCATGTTCTTCTGGATGCTGCGGCGGAAGAAGCCCTGGAGTTGGGGGTGGGGGGTGGGCAGTGAAGCAGGATGCTGGGAGTACCAGCCTCTCACAGGCCTTGTGGGTCGCCCCAGGCCGGACCCAGTCTGCGAGCCACCACGTGGGTGCAAAGCAGCTCCTCCCACTCCACAGGGACGGCCACTCGCACACAGCGTCCTGCCCCTCTGGTCCGGACGGGAGGCCCAGAGCGCCCACCCCCACTACGCACACACCTTGCAGCCTTCACAGGAGCTGACCCCATAGTGGTAGCCAGAGGACTTGTCATTGCACACGAAGCACGGCTTGTAGACCCGAGGAGGTGGAGGGGGTGAGGGCGAGCTGGGCACCATCTCCTCTGAGCTAGTGCTCTGCGTCTCCACCGCTGAGGGGAAAGCAATGACATGACGGTCGGGGGAGAAGGACCCCTCAGATCTCCCAGCATCCTCGCTATACAGACACACCCCATTCCCACTTCTCCCTCTTGCTCGGAGGTGACGACACCATCACTGCCGCACTGACTTAAAGTCCCAACAACCACGTACAGCCCCATAGTAAACACTTCCAGAAAGCCCCAAACGACGGCCCTCAGTGCACCTCCCGCAGTCTGGCCATCTCCCTGCACCACGGTGCCAGCCCGAGCCCTCCGATCCTGCCAGCCCGAGCCCTCCGATCCTGCCAGCCCGAGCCCTCCGATCCTGCCAGCCCTCACGACCCTGCTGGGTTCCAGGCCAAGGCCCTCTTGAAAGTTAACTTCTGGGCCTCAGTTTCCCCAGCTATAAAGTGGGTAGGGGAAGGGATTGTGGGCTGCGGCTCTGCACTCTTCAGTCAGTCACTCTGTCACAGTGGTCCACCTTGTTGGGTCATCTACCTCCCACCATCCTCCTCCTCCCCCCAGGCAGTAGATCTGGAGTTGGGTAGGCAAGCACCAGCCACCTGGAGCTCACACCTGGCTCAACGACCTGCAGGGGTACTCAGTACCCCGGGTACCCTGAGGTCGAAGAGGACCTTATTTTCTCTCAAGTAGTACAGTAGTACAAATAATCCTCCAGCTTCTCCCCCTCATATCACCCCCCAGAGAACCGTCAACGTCCTTTTCCCCGGAAACCACCAAGGCACCGAGGCAGTGGAGCAAACAGGACAAGGTATCAAGAAAGTAGGTTAGCAGATATGCAACAGCCCTCTTTTACACCTGAAGGAACTGAGGCCAAGGGAGGGGAGTGACCGGCCCGGTGACACACTGCCAGCTAATGGTGGAGCCAAGACTCTCAGGTCCTCTGGCTAGATGTAAGTGGCCAGGCAGGGAGCCTGAGAAGTCAAGAAGTCGGGGAAGGACAGACTGAGGTATTTGCTCAGATTCTCAGGTTGAGAAGCGGTTGGGGGCGTAGCAAAGCGGGAAAAGTCAGGTGACAGTGGGTAAACAGGGCTCATGGGGGAGGGGAGCTATCTCTGGACCCTCTCCCAGCCCATGTCTTCACTCCTCAACTTTCCCCACAAACACCCAATCGCAGCTCAAAGGGGGCCTCAGCCCACGCCACACAGGGGGACGGGGTTGGGCACCCTTTGTTCAGGAGGCTGCTCGGTTGTGTGGGGGTTTTTGGGTCTGTGGCTCATCTTCAGAGGCAGAGAAATCTATAAATTATTCAACCTGTAGGACCCGTTGCCCAAACCAAGAGGGCCCAAGTTAACGCAAGAAAATGCTAGGACCCTCCCTAAGGAGTGTCCCACGCACCCACCTCAAAAGCACCTTCTTCCTTCTAACCTGCTGCAGCCCACCTGGTCAAAAGTCCGCCCCATACCGCCAGAAGGGCAGAAGGAATGCCCAGGAAGCTGGGGTTCCGGGCTAGCTCCACCCTCCCTCCAGGAGGGAAGCCCTCCCCACCCCCCAACACACACAGACACTATTAGCATAAGAATCCCGCTGGAGTGAGATTCCCCAATGGCAAAGGACAGAGGAGAGGGGAGGAAAAAAGGTGCCTGGAGTCTATTCAGGTCCGGGGCGGGAGACTCCAGGAGGGGCACTGAGAGACGTGGGGCCGGCTGAAATGCCTTTCAGGACCCCTTCTGGTGTCCTGGGAGGGCACACGTGCTGCCCACAGGCCAGTGCGTGGGGTGGTGCTCACTCGGGCGCTGACGCCCTCCCTGCCCGCAGAGCGCTGCCTCATTTCCTCTCTTGCGAAAGGGCCTGGGTGCGGTCAGACTGGCATAGGGCAGTGCCAGGCAATTATAAAGACTGGGGGCCGCAGGGAGACAGGCCTGGGGACAGCTTTTCCTGTCTGAGTGGTACTGTCACCCCTCCTGGGCACCCTTCTGGCACAACTCTGCCCTCTGAGCCCTAGAGTGCGCCTCAGTGGCCCTGGTCAGTCTGGGGGTGAAGGGCACAAGAAGGCTAAGTGGGTCAAGCCTGCTCACATTCCCTTCTCAGCCCGAGCCCAAGACCCCACCATTGGGATGCTGCTCCCAGGCTAGGCAGGGGCCCCTGCTGGGGAGGAGGGGGGGGCGGGCTCTGGGTTTTTCTCCTTTTAAAGCCCAAATTGCTGAAATTGAGGAAATTCCTGGCCAGGCTGAGCGGAGCTTCAAACAAACTCTTTATAACCGGCTGTAAACGCTCCCAGCTGCGAGGCGCGGGACTGAGAAGCCCAGACTCACAATCTGATACACACCTCCTGGGAGACACTCTCACACATCAACAGGCAGGGCACAAAAGTAGACATACTACCAATGGCCTCCTGTACCCCACCAGGCCCCTGGCACCGAGGAGCACACAGTGAGGCATAAAGGCACACTCACTCCAGCCACATGGTGGAGGAGGGGGATACACAAGTCAGAAAGCTGCCCCACAGCACCCAGCTTCGCATTTGCAAGAGAGCAGCTCAGCTACCAGACAAACAGCAGGGCCTGCCAGCACAGCACCAGGACACCGCCAAACACCCACAAACACACCATGTGGCCCTCCCCTCAAGGGCCCTCTTTCCTTCCCTCGTTTAGACACAGCTCTAAACTACTTTCTCTCTAAAAGTGTGTGGAGCAGGCCCGAAGCCCCCCAAGACCCTAGAGAACAAAATTATTGGTCCAAATTGAAATGCAAGACCATAGTGCCAGCCAAGTGGGGCGGGGGAGCTGCCATGCTCCTGAAAAGGGCTGGGTCCCTACCCAGCCCCCACAAAAGCCCTCCTGGGAGTCTCTCCACCTCAGCACCCCTCCCAACAGACCCCAACTCCCCTTTCTATTGGGCAGTGAAAGGAAGGTTAAGAATTCACCAGGGTTGGGTGCACAGCAGTAACAGTTCCGTGCCCTCTCCGTCTTATAAATGCCACACTTTTAATTCTCGCCGCACCCCACCCCAAAGTATGGTCTCCTGTTCGCCACCTCCCTCCTTCAGTCTGCAAGTTGTTAAATCTGAGCAGCTCTGCCCTGGAACCAAAGAAAAAAAAAAGGAGGAAAAGAAAAGAAAAAGAAGAAAGAAAGAAAAAAAGCCGAACTCGTAAACAGCGCTGCCGAGTGCCAAGCAGCGAGGCGCGTTGGCGGGGGCTCGGTGACCCCGCGGGCGCACTCCCCCAGCGCCCGCCGCCCCGCCCGCCGCCCGCCCCTTCCCAGCTGCCCCCAAGCCCCTCGCGCCCGCGTCCGCACCGGGCTACCAGCGCGGTCCCAGCCCCGGGAAAATTTGGGGGGTGTTCCAGGCTCCCCTCCCGGCTCCTCCCCACGCCCACCCCCGCCAGGCACTTCGGCCCAGGCTTCAAAGCCGCCTCTCATCTGGACTTCATTTTTACTGCCTCTCAGTCCCCAGCTTTTTATTACCGCTCTGGAAAGGGGTTCCAGGGCCCCAGGCCTGGCATCTCCCATTTCACAGAGAGGGGAAGATGGATATTTGGGGACCCAGTAGTCCTCCTCTCCCTGCTGCTGCCTCCGCCAGCCCACCCCCCACCCCTGCCGTAAACAGGCTTTGCTTTAAACTTTGCGCTTCCTACTGAAGTTGTGTGTCTTGGAGCCCTAGGAACAAGTCATCTCTTTGCATACAATCCTATACACATTACCAAACAGTGCTTTTTAGGATGGGGGAGGGGGCGTCAGAGCCCAGCCTTCTCCTGGTTGTGCGCACAACCCGGTCCACCCCGCACGAGGAACACACAGGATGCACCCTCGAACGCAGCACTTTCCAAAACCGCCCCCGCAGCCACGCAAGGGCACACGCCTTCCCGGCCTCACGCCACAAACATCCCTACATAGGGCCGTGCGGACCTGCCAACGCCGTCGGAGGGCGACACTGCGTGGGGAGACCCCCTACACTCAAACCGCCTACGCAAGGCGCTGCACACTCCAGGGATTCACACGCTCTGCAAGTATTTTTTTTAAGCTCCCAACTTCCCACAAGGACTCTACTAACGCCACCCACGGCCCTGGGTGCCATATCCCTCCGGGGCCACGGACCTGCGGGCACAAGCTACCAATAACCCCTCGGTCTCTCCCTATCCCCTAGAATTCTGGAGTGGCATCAACCGCAGCTCCTACCTAAATACCCACCATAAAAACCACACACACTCCAAACACTAATGCACACACCCAAAGGAGTCGCTGAAGTCCCCACGTTTAAAGGGCCAGTACCTCTCTTTCCTACACACCCGCCCCTGACACACAGAGGGTGAGAATCTCCGCTGGCACCCCAGTTCCACCTTTTACACACGGAAAGGGTGAGCCGCTGCCTTTCCTGCACCCCACCCCCCAGCCCTGGGCTCTGGTACCTACATTGCAGACTGGCGGGTTGCGGCCAGGCAAAAGACTCAAATCCGGCGAAACAGGAGCTGCCCGTGGCTCTGCGCAGCAAACCGGCCCCGGGCCCCGACGCCCCGTACAGCCGTCGCGGACCCGGGGCAAACGTTTCCATGCAGTCGTACATCGCGACCCGGCTTGGAGGGAAGCTGGGTGCTAGGAACACCAAGGACCCGCAGCCGATTCCCCCTCCTCCCCCGGCGGCGCCCCGCTCCTGGAGGGGGGGAGGGGGAAGGCTAGCATAGGGCGCCAGGCTGCATGGGGGGTAAGGGGTGGGCGGGGAAGAGGGGGATCCCCAGCAGGGGAAAGGGACTGGGCGGGGCGCAAAGCCAGGGCCGCCGCTACGGCCGCGAGCCGGCTCACTCTGGGCGCCTCCGCGGCTAACACTGGGGAGACCTTTTGTAAAAGCGAAGCCCGGAGGGGTGGGGGGTGGGGCTTGGAGAGCAAAGGGGGCCGGGCACTAAGACGAGCCGAGCTGGGAGTGGAGCGCACACTTACACACACTCGCACCCGGCGCGCGCGCTTGCTTAGACACATATCCGTGCATGCGTTTATCTAGGCAGTCACCGCGTATTTGCAAATATGCAATAGTGCGCCATGTATTTTTTCTGCGTGTAC